TATTATTTACAAAAAATGTTAATATTATTTTATTTTGAAAACTTAAATATATAATCTTTTTAATTAAATTTTTTGTAATATATTATTATACATGTTTATTTTTTATAATTAACTTTTTTAAAAATTTATATTTTAAATTTATATTTGTGTTTAATTATAATTTTTTTTAAAATTATAGAAACAAAGTTTAGTTTTACCTTTAATTTAACATAAGCTATTAATTTTGTTAGTAAAGATTTGACAATAAACTACAGAATCCAAACTTTAATTATTATTATTACTATATTATTTAACTATTTTTTAAAAAAAATCTAGGTTTTAAATTAAAGTTTAGTAAGAAAAAAACAACCAATATATAAAAGTTTATTTTAAAATCTTTTATTTTATATTTAAAAATATATGACTATAGTAAAATGTTTTGTTGTTAACAATTTTTTAGATTTATTATTATTATTAGTTTCGCTATTAATTTGGTTGTACAAGATTTTACGATATAATTGGGCAAAAGTAGCAATATTCTTTGAATATTATTAAATTAATCAGATTATATAAAAATAAATTTATAATAACGGCATGACATAATGAACTTTCGATGCTTTTGCATGCAAGTGGCATGCCACCCTGACATGCCAAAGTTGACATGTTAATGATTATCATGCCAGGTTCCCTACCCAGGGGGGGGGGGTATTTAACGAATTGTATACTAGTATACTAGGTTAAAAAGAAAATTAAAAATAAATTTTAATTATAAAATTAAAACAATTATTTACTATATCTTAATTATAAAATTAAAATAATCATTTATTATAAACAATATATAATTTAAGTTAAAAGGATTAACTAACATTAGAATTAGGATTATTTTTAACTTTCTTTTAACTAGTACATAAACTTTATACGTATATACGTTATAAAGAATCTTTAAATACTAAGAAATAAGTATTTGAATCTAAAATCAATTATATATTTTAAGTTAAAAATAAAAAAATTTTTTTTTATAAATTTAACATTTAACATATGTACATACGTTACAAACGTTACAAACGTTACAAACGTTACATACGTTACATACGTACGTATAAAAGTTTTATTTAACAAATAAGAGTGCAATTGTATCAACTGCATACGTACGAAACGTCGACTAACTAATATTGAAAGATATAAAATCAAGTAGCCAAAAGAAGATTAACGATATAGTGTATATAGAATACAGTATATAATAATCAATGTTAAATACGTATACAAATTGATACGTAAAAGCTAAAATTTATTATACAATTAAATAAGGTTGTACTCAATTATTTCGAAATCCTAACAAGTACAATAGTAAGTACGTATTATTGATCTTTGTAGTTTGTAAAATTTGGCAGTATTAAAATGTATTAAGATGCTATGTAGTTGGAATCTAACATGGGGTCCAAGGAGTATAGGTGTACAACAGCCAGAACTGTGGGAATGGGAATATGATTAGCAAAGAAATGGCGTTTAGAATTTAATACGTAGATAGATAGATAGGTAGGTAAGTACGTATGTATATAAGTAAGTACAAATGTATGCATATAAGTATATAAGTAAGTATAAATGTAAGTATATAAGTAAGTACGTATAAATGTATGTATATATGTATATAAGTAAGTATAAATGTATATAAGTAAGTATAAATGTATGTATATATGTAAGTACGACAGTATTTCTTTCATTGACTAATGCAGACATAAATAACAAGTACCCAAATATAGATGTGATACAAACCAACCAAAAAAACGCAAGAACAACTAAAATAATCAAGGACACTAAATAGATTTTGTCGTTATTCTCAATCCCAGAAAGGAAAATTGAAGACATGCGTATTTAATTTCAATGCAGGGATACTTATCATACCATTTGCATGGGGCCAAGAGTTATAAGTGGGCCAAAAAATTACGTAAAAATTTGTAAGCAATCAAAAGAACTAACAATAACCCAAAAAGGCATCATTCATTATATGCAAGATGTATGCATTAATAATTTGGGTAATTTCGCAGCATTAAATGAAAAGAATAAGAGCAGGATTTCATACATGATAATTAATTCGACACGTTACGTTTAAATCAAGGTTTTAACATCTTAAAAAGAATTAGCCAGTATAAATTCAAAGAGTAAAGTTACATATGTTTCATAACATGATTTACACACTATAATAGATAGAGTATTACTTAATTAACGCAGAGGTAATTGGTTGAATATTGTTGTAATAAAACACAAGATTCCTAAAATTATATAAAACACAAGATTTCTAAAATTAAGTGAAGTGATAAAGAAAAAATAAAATAAAATATAAAATATATATTAAATCAAAAGATTAACGTACATAAATTCCTGCGGATTCAGGTTTTAACAATTTGAATCAGGTATTACACAATATCTAATATAGTTAATACGCGAATTAACTAATAAAAGTTAACATTGGGCGTAATAAAATCTAGATACAAGCATATATATATAATGAGGATGAAATTTTAAAATAATGCATGTAATCAAGCGATGCATAATTAAGGCAATATTCATAGTTCAGGAATCCATTTGTCACGATCTAAAAGTGAACGCTAATTTTTAGGATAATGCAAGTTTTATAAAAGTGACATCATTGTAACGATATTAATGATATTATTGATATTATTAATGATATTACAAATAGATCAATTATAATAAACATACTAAAAATATTCAAATTCGAAAGATTGGTTTAATGTTTCCATCGCAATACAGTATGACATATAAAACAAAGAACTTATATTACTAATATTACTTACTAATAGTTTCCTTATACATCCTCATAAGTTAATGTCAAACGAATTCGCAAAAAAAAAGAAACATCGGACATTTTATAAATTACCATAGTACAAACGAATTACCATACTACAAACTAATTACCATACTACAGACGATTTACTTACCATGTTGCTCTTTTTTTGTAATGGCAAATCTCACTCGTATTTTTTTTTCTCATTTTACATACTGTAATAATGTAGGAATGTAAAAATATGTAATAATGTGTGAATGTAAAAACGGTAATAATGTGTGAATGTAAAAACAGTAACAATGTGTGAATGTAAAAACAGTAATAATGTATGAATGTAATAACAGTAATAATGTATGAATGTAAAAACAGTAGTAACGTATGAATGTATGAATGTAATAACAGTAGTAACGTATGAATGTATGAATGTAATAACAGTAGTAACGTATGAATGTATGAATGTAATAACAATAATAATGTATGAATGAAAAAAATAACTACAAAAACATCATAAATAGAAATTATGCTGCATTACAAATCAATAGATACGAATTATTCAGATAATAAATGCTACTATAGTATTCCGAATAAATGCATATATATACATATATATATATATATATATATATTATGAATTGCTTCTATTTGTTATTATTTGTTAGCAAATGATTTACATCGAAAAAAGAAAGTTTTTTGTACATTTTTACGCGTGGCAATATGATACAATTATATCTGCATAAATTTAACGAATCAATTATTTTTTAAGAGATAGATCTCAAGTACATAATAAGTACATACAAGTGCATATTTTATCTTACATGTTCCAAGTACTTTAAATGTTACTCTAAAATGTAAATGCAAGACTTCAAATGTTACTCTAAATGTAAATGTAAGTTGTTGAAGTTGTACTTTGAAGAAATTTGATAGTAACTCGGATTTCGGATGAACACAACACAAGTCGACTCAGGTCAAGTTTTGATTCTAAGCGAGCTGAGTGGATGGAATTCCTAGGAACCATTAATAAAATCGGTCAGTTCGCTCATACAAAAGCGCAAACTAGTCAAGTCTCGAATTGTCTAGTCATGATCATCCCTAGCAGTAAAAACGTTCTTATTAGATTTATATATACTTTATGGCGGTGAACTAAGTAAGACAAACCATGTGCATGTTATATAAATATATAATTTAGAGAGTGACTTGAAAATCACGTGGGATAATCATAATTAATGGAAGAAAGTTGAGAGTCAACGCACGATCTTGAGAACAATAAAAATAAAATTTAATGGTAGGCTTAAGTTTTAATAAATAAGTTTAGTTATAAATAAATATAATGATAAGTAAGTATAATGATAAGTTTAAATTCTGAAATTTGATGATAAGGATGATAGGGATGATAAGTAAGTTTGAAGATAAATAAATTTGATAAGTTAGTGTTATTTATAATACACTTATACTTATCATACACTTATACTTATCATACACTTGTACTTATAATACATTTATAGTATATTTATAATACATTTATAATACACTTATCATACATTTATAATACACTTATCATACACTTATCATACATTTATAATACATTTATAATACATTTATTAATACACTAATGTACCAAGTATAAGAAAAGGGCGTAATTAAGGAGAAAGAATTGCCATTTTTGGTTCATTATATTATCTAAAAAGAGTCTAAAAGAATGGATTAAATAGATAGAATGAGAATCAATTAAACAATTATTGAATTATTGAAAATCAATTGATCGTGGATTTTAGGCACATGCATTAGATAATCGATCACATTTTAAAATAATAAATTATTAAATTTGCATTAGATTGACGAATTTCTATCACTGTAATCACTGTAATCACTGTAATCACTGTATACGTTATATATAACGATGAAGCATACAAATAAATATAGAGAGATATTCAGATTTTCCTAATAAACGAGATAAACAAGTTAAAGAAGGTTCTTTAATTATTAATTATGCAGTGATGATTGTGGAGAAAGATATGAATGTACAAACGTAAAGTAATTAAAGTAATTAAAATAACGTTAAATTTTCTATGATTATGAATTAACATTGGATGAATGCAACACATGTGTATACATTTAATAAAATCATGAATATTAATGAATAAGATCAGATAAAAAAAAAAATAGATACTCTTGGACTCGGTAAAATAAAATGATATTAATGAATGATGAACGTTAACTAATGGTTAATCATAAGAATATATCAATTCAAAAAGAATCTTACGATGATATTGTCGTAAATAAGGGTTTGACAGAAATTGTTTTGTTAAATGTTACTGGTACAACAAGAATGAAAGAAGTAAGAATCGATTATCTATTGCGTTAATATATTGCGTTACCAACGTCATCAACGTCACAAACGAAGATCGGAAAAGTAATAAATCTGATTTAATAGATTTAATAGATTTAATAGATTCAATAGATTCAATAGATTCAATAGATTCAATAGATTTAATAGATTCAATAGATTTAATAATTAATAAATAAATTAATTAAGTAAAATTAATAAATAAGGCATTTACGTTGACGAAAACGAAACAACAAATTATCTGAAGCAATGAGTTCTATCTCTATAGAAGAAATTGAATTTAATTGGTTTGATTTATGTTTTATGAGAAAGGTTGCCTTTTATAGCGTGGACAATCCACACAACAAACCTAAATGACCATTGAATATATGCTAGCTTTTTTTTTTTGTAATATTTATCGATAATTCATAATTTCAATTCATAATTCATAGTTATAACTGCAGGATTGTTGATAGTAAACATAAATAAATAAATAAATCTGCGATCTCTGTTTATATCACATGATGTGGTCTGACCGCCAAAAAATCGAAATGTTTTCTTTTAAAAAAATCATGAAATTAATCATGAGTAATTAACAATCCACTCTTATTAGTGTACAAAGAAAAAGATTTCATTCATTCGTATATTTCATAATTAATAATAAAATGAATAAATGAAGCATGCTATATGAGCATCATGATTACTGGATTATGGGGTTCATCGATCACGCATGTTTTATCGACCTCTAGTACTCCAAAAATTCCCAAGATTCCTAAAATCATACCATTATCTTCATTATCTTTATTATCTTTTTCTTTTAAAAAAACCTGCCTCTACAAAATAATAATAATAATAATAATAATAAAGACTGTTAAATAAAATAAAGTAGAGTAAAATAGAATAAAATAGAGTAAAATAGAATAAAATAGAGTAAAATAGAATAAAATAGAGTAAAATAGAATAAAATAGAGTAAAATAGAGTAAAATAGAATAAATTAGAGTAAAATAGAATAAAATAGAATAAAATAAAATAAAAAAATAAAATAAAATAGAATAAAATAAATAAATAGAAATAAATCTATATTAAACACAATAAATCTTACTATGCTTCTTAGCTTCTCTAATTTCAAGTGACGCTCGTTTTCTTGATGGAAAATTTATTAGAAACTTCTTCAGAATTTTAGTTAGCGTTCACCCCTAACGACAAAATTTTTCAAAAAATGATCACAAATGATCATACGATAGAAATTAATTTAACAAAATATAGACCAGTGCCACCATATACACTTATTTCCCTCATATAGTATGGTACGGAAGTACCGCTCGACGATAAGTGCAAAAACTAAAATACTTTCCATAAGCTATATTATTATATTATTTATTATGTCATTACGATAGTATCCCTAGTTATTATTCAAATTATTCAAGTTATTATTCAAATTATAATTCAAATTATTCAAATTATTATTCAAATTATTCAAATTATTATTCAAATTATTATCCAAATTATTATCCAAATTATTATTCAAGTTATTATTCAGTTATTATTCACGTTATTATTCAAATTATTATTTAAATTATTATTCAAATTATAATTCAAGTTATACGAGGCTTTTAATAAATCCATATATACTGTAGTATCCTATAACATAACAACTTAGAAATATAGAAAGGGAAATATTTGATGTTTCAAGTCAATTTTAATCCATCTTCTAGAACAAAGTTTTTTTTTTTTTTTAATATGCATTTAATGTTTTCATTTGCATATTAAAGTAATGACACGAGCACAGCCATGACACGATACTGACTTGACTTTTTTTTTTCTCTTACACACGATAAATTCTCATACCTAGACTATCAAACTGTACCTCCAAACCCCACCTTTTTTACTAGTTACAACATGTTGAAATTGTCCGACGATGTTATGTTAAATATAGTTTAGGTTCAACTGCCAGAAACAAGTTTTTTTTATATATTATATATATATTTTTGACCTCATATGACACGTTCATCATGTGACACAAATTTTATAGTAATATAGTATATATTTTAAATATATATATTTAATCAATGTTAATTAATTACGTACGTACTTTTAAATGCATATTTCTATTTCTTTTTTTAATGTATGCAAAATAGTATTACTAAAAGTAGTATATATAAAAAAAAAAAATTTTTTTTATTTAATCGATTAACCCAAACTTTATTCAAAGTCTAATTCAAAATTTCTCCAAAGGAGAAATAAAAGTTGTTTTACATGTACAACATTGCCATTATACTAAAATATGTTAAGCCAGATACATCACATTGAACCTTTTCAGTCAATAAAAAATGCTTTTCATCTAAGATATAAAAACTCTGTTATCTCCAACTTCCCCAAATACTTCCTTTCACAATAAAATCGTGTTTGATTTGCATTTATCAGGCAAAAAAAAGTAGAATCAACTGACCTATAAAAGGTTCAAAAGATTCCGTTCACACTTTATTTTAATTTATTTATAATATATAAGTATATAATATACATTTATATATATTACTTTTTCTATCATTCAATTTTTTTTTTCGGCTCATCTGCTTCTTGAACCCATTTTCTCTACCTTTTTACCTTGAAAATAAGATCTTTGTTCGTTATTACTCTGATTTATTAGCATTTATTTACACTTTATTTGTATTTAATTTCGATATTGGGTATTGAGAATCCTTTACTTAGTAATATAAAAAATATAAAAAAACAAAAAAAAAAAAGAAAGAAAGAAAAGAAATACAAACAAACAAAACAAACAAACAAAAAAGAAAAAGGAATTATATAATTAACTGTACCCCATACATAATACTTTTTCTTTTTTTTTTATCACTTTCGTTTTGTATTAAAAATACGCATATATACATTACGAAACTTAAAAAACAACTTGAAAAACACCCATTCTTCGTATAAAACGAAAAATATATTCTTTCACTTAAATCATTTTATAGCTAATCTTTATTACTAGCATACACATAAAATATGATGGAATATGTTTTCGTTGACGACTTGCATAGATATAAACGTTTAAAAGTCACACGTGCGTGCGAGTCATGCCGAAGAAGAAAAGTTAAATGTGACGGTGGATCTGGTGGTTCTCAAACTCCTTGTTCAAGTTGTAGAAAATTAAAAATCGATTGTATCTTTTCAAATATGGCCATGAAAAGAGCTGCTCCAAAATCTGAACAAGAACAAATGGATGAAAGATTACAACGATCTGAAAGTTTACTGAATAAACTTGATGAAGACGATGTCAAGGCAAGAAAGGGTAGATATAAAATATTTGATATAAACATATAAATATATATATATATTTATTTATGATAAATATCTAATTCTCTCTATTTTATTTTATTTTATTTTATTTTCTCAGTAATAAATGGCGTCGATTATGTTGACTCTTTGACTGATGTCATGGGGCACATGAAAATAGCATACACTGGTAGAGCAAATTATATTCTTTCCTTGGAAGGAATGGTACTCAAAAAAAATGGGATTTATACCGAACCACCATTACCATGCGATAATTATTCGGAAAGTGGTTATCCTACACCTGAAATAATTCAAAATTTGATTGGTCTCTATTTTGCCAACGTTCATCCATACGTTCCAATATTGAACAAGAATGATTTTATACGACGCCTTAATGATAAGAATAATCCAATTTCTCCTTTATTATTCTATTCCGTACTTGCTATTGGTGCAAGATTTTCTGATGACCCCGTGGTTCGTCTTGATCCTTTGAAACCTGAAACTGCTGGTTTCATTTATTTTAACAGAGCTAGAGGTATATAATATAATATATAATATATATTATTATTATTGTTTGATTTATTTATTTTATTTATTTTATTAACCTTTTTTTTTTTTTTTAACTAAATTTATTTTTTTAAAAAAAAAGATTTATTAGATGATTTCTTTGATGCTCCTAGATTATCTACAATACAAGCACAAATTTTATTGTTAAAATTTCAAGAAGGTATGCGTCGACCTGGATTCTTCTTTAGAAGCTGGTTATATTTTGGTACAATTCTTCGCATGGCACAAGATTTAGATCTAGAAAAAAACCTTGAAAAGTGGAATTTAGAAATCAGTAGAGAAGACATGATTGTTAGAAAACGTGTATGGCAAACTTGCTTCATTTACGATCAATTAATGGGCGGTGCGCAAGGTAATTATTATTTTTAAATTATATAATTTTTATTATTTTCAATACAATATAATATAATATATTTTCAATATATTTTTATTTAGGTCGAGATACTGCCATATTCTTATCAAATACAGATATCGATCTTCCTTTAAAAAGTGATTTCGATGACGAACAAGAATTACAAATTCATACAGAATTTGTTCATTTCGTCCGCCTTATTAAAATTTTATCAAGTGTGTTGTCGACAATCGCTTCAGCAGGTTCTGGCAATTCGTTACAAGCTTGGTCTTCAAATCCAAAATTTCAAACTTTAGATACTGCATTAGATGCTTGGTTACAAGCTCTTCCACCTGGACTTAGATATCAACAATTAGTAGAAAATAATAATGGTGTTGCACCTCAAACTTCTCATTTTGCTTGTTTCATTAACATTTTATATCATACTGTAATCATTTTACTTCATCGTCCTTATATATCAAATATGGAAAATGGAAAAATAACTCATACAAACCCAAATCATTTAAATATTTGTACCGTAGCTGCAAATACTATATCTTCAATCGTTAGAATGGCTCATGATCGATGGGGTCCCCTTGTATTTCAATATCCTATCCGCGGAGGAAATTATGGTGTATATTGTATGGTTGCTGCTTCTATGATTCATCTTGTCAATATGTCATCACCTGATTTAAGATTTTCTAAACCTGCTCATGATCATTTATTAAGTACTTTGAGTGTTCTCAAAGTTTGTGTTGATCATAGTTCTGCTTGGGAATTAAGAGATAAAGTTCATGCTTTAGAAGCAGCTTTCACTGCTCAAATGGCACGTCAATCACATGGTTTATTATTTCACCCTGGATCACATCCGGGTTCACCAGTTAATGGTCACATGAATAGACAAAGACTTAACGTACCCATAAAGAGAGCAACAAATCCAAATACTCAAGGAATGATGATGACAGATTCTGGACAACATTATCTTCCAAATAATCTTTCAAATAATCTTCAAGATAATTTTTCACAATTTCCACAATCTTCTTCTCCTCCTCGTTTTAATGAACGACCATTATATTTATTAGCTGAAGGATCTGATCAACATTTCTTTACTCCTGAACAAAATCAACCTTTTGAATTTCTTCCTTCACATAATTCTGTGGATGGTGGATCATTAATTTCTTCATCCATAAATTCATCTATCAATCCTTCAATTGATCCATCAATTGATCAATCCATTAATCATCAATCCATTAATCATCAATCCATTAATCATCAATCAATTAATCATCAATCCATTAATCATCAATCAATTAATCATCAAACCATCAATCATCAATCTATTAACCCGTCCATTAATCAAACCATCAATCCAATAGGTCTTTCTACACCAATTACGCTGCCAACATCACATCAATTTAATCCTTTATTACCATTGAATGGCACAAAACAACTTGAGATTAGTTGTATTGATTCAAATAATACATTCTGGGATGCAAATTCATTATACATATGGCCGAATACAACAGCTTCTCAACAAATGTGGACAAATAATGGAGGAAGTCCATTAAGCATAAGTACACCAGCATCAACAACATCAGCATCTGGTCATCAATCACCAGAACATGATTCACCTTATTCACATAGTGGAGTAGGATCTCCTGCAGGATCAGTAGTTGATCCAGTGATTGTTGCGTCTCAAACTCATGATATGATGATGTCAACAGAAAATGTTTCATGGTTTCAAACAGCCTAATTTTTCATATATACACTTGAAAAAACAAGTGAGTTGATATATTCGAATACATTAATAAGAAAATTATTTATATATATTTTAATTTGTGGACATTGGTTTCTTTTAATTTTTTTTATTTTTTTTACAAAGTTTATTAAAAGTAGTTGTTAAAGTTTATTTCTATAATATTTCTTAATTTAAAAATATATTCCTTTACAATATATTCCTTTACAATATATTCCTTTACAATATATTCCTTTACAATATATTTCTTGTATAATAATACACCTACATCTAAAAAAAAAATTTCCAATAGCATTTACAATACAACAAATCACGCATACACAATATATGAAAAAATTTCCACGACTTTCGCATGTAACATAGTCTACCTTTCTTCTGTTTTTTTTTTGTTTTTCTTTTTAATTTTACTTAATTTTTCTTTTTTAATGCTCTGATCTTTTGTTTTTTTTTGCTTTTTTTTTTTTTTTTTTTGAGATGTTAATTGTAAATTTTTCTCACACAAATATTTTCTGGTTTATAGTTAATACAAATAAACCATTCGAATAATTTTCGAACATTTAGCAAAGAAAATTAACCCGATTCAATCACGTGGTTATAAGAATTTAGTGTAATCCATGATAAAAATGTTTTTGAATCAGATTACATAAGTTGCTGACAATAATCTTACTGTATATTACCGTAGCACGGCCTTTCCCGATGCATGCCTGCTGGTAAACTTTTGCAAGGTTTTTTTTTATTTATTTACATACATACAAATTTTACACATACAAACTATTCCATATATACTCATCATTTATGCGTAAATATGTGACCATTATTCTGTATTGAATTTATTTATAATAAATGTTCCCCGCAGGTTTTTCAGGTTTTTTTTTTTTTACCTCACATTGTTATCTCATGAAAATGTGGTTACGTAATACATTGCATTGTGTAAGGTTGCGTAATATTGCGTAATATTTTTTGTAATAGTTTTTGTAAGGTTTTGTTTGGAAGTTTATCGAAGATTTCAAAGCTTTTTGAATGCGTAAAAAAAAAAAAAAAAAAACTACTTGCATGTTTGTTTAACAAAGAAAAAAAAAAACAAAGAATTTTGTATTGTGTTACTGTCCTTGTTTATAATTTGTCTGCAGGTACGTATGAAACGCTTTCAATATATATATATATATATATTTTCAAGATAATTTGTTTCTAAGTACGTACGTATCTTGATAAATGACAGATAATGTAATAAATTTAAATTGATGAAATTTGATGGTTATTTTAATTCTTGGGTCTATTTTTGATCAATTTTATCTAAATTTGGAAGATACAAATGAAAAGTTCTCAAATTCTACACAAATTCTACGTATTCAAATAATTGACGTATTGTACGTACAGTACGTAAAGTACGTACGTACGTAAAAGAATTTTGTTTACATTCTGGTTATGATGAAATTGTACCTACGCATACATGATGATATTAGAGTTACATTTAATTATATGAACGATGACCAAACTTTTTTCGCGATTTTCGTTGTTTTACGCAACGCGTCTGAATAAATTAAATCACGAGATAAATTTTACAAAATAAATCTATAACAAATTTATAACAAAATAAATAAATTTATAACAAAATAAATTTATAACAATAAACTTACCAATAAAATTTGCAAATAAATTTGCGTGATGATTTACAAAATCAATTGAATTAACTGTTTAAAATGCAAACCCTACTTTAAAGTACATAGTCATTATATTAGTCACATGTATTATGAACGATTTTCTATCTAACTATAAAGAATTTTCATGTATATCCATTTACCTACCTATATCGATGTTCATTCATCAGTTGCTGATACTTTAGAAAAATTATTTATGCAATTGTGAATGACTATATGCATGAAAACACCTATTGTACGCTATCGATTATGACATAATACTAAATCTAAAACCAACACTCCTTATTCATGACTGATTTGTCATCATTTATTTAAAATTCGCGTGTTTCGTTATTTTCCAAACTTGGAATTAACAATTAACTTATTTATACAAGTCAATTTTCGTGAATTCTTCACTAGCTAAGGTATAATGCTACGCATATATAATGAAATCTTCTTGAAACCACATTCGAATTTTAATTTTTTTTTTTTTTTATTATATGTTAATTTTAAAAAAAAAAACAAATCGATGTAAAATGAAACTATCATTTAAAATAATTGCATAAACTTTATATCGTATGGTGTTTTGCATTCACTGTTTGGTTGTTATTATAGTAAAGACTTTCTTATTTGATTTACAACTTATACAAACATACGAATATTGCCTTTATTGTCTTTATAATGATTCGATTCATGTAATATATTGTATAATTGTATATAACTTTTTGTATAATTGTGTATGATTCTATATGATGTTATATAATTGCATATATATAGGTTGCATATATATAGGCATACATATAGGCATCTATATAGGCATCTATATAGGCATATATATATAGGCATATATATAGCATATATATAGCATATATACAGTTGTATATAATTAAAATACCGCAAATTATTTGTACTAGCGCTCGAAATTGTGTACAAAAAATATTCCTTCTTTATCTTCTTTATGTTCTCGTAACACATTTAATTAATTTCTTTTAATAGCTAAACGTCTTTGTAAATTAATTATCTTAAAAAACATTATACGTATAGGTTCTTATTCTTATACGTACGTTAGGTTCTTATACGTATAGATTCTTACAATGCATTAAACCATATACATAGTAAGTACATAGTAAGTACATAGTAAGTACATAATAAATACATAATAAATACATAATAAATACATAATAAATAAATCATAATTATATCATAATTATATATTTATACGTATATTGTATTTGTACAATACATCATGCATTAATAACGTTAAGATTACACCGGTGAAAAAATCACGGAATAATATAGACATAAAAATTCTACCAATAACATTTATCATGTATCCATTTTACCCGTTTTGTCTGAATTATTGTGCAGAAAATAATACATATAATTTATCGGAGTCTTGCAGTCATTAATCCGAAGTTTCATTGAATTTTTTGAAACTCTGTTCTTTTAATTTAACGTTAACCATTTTGTTGTATAAATTTGAAAAATAAAATGGATATGATGAACGTTTTAAAACAACTTTAAAACTATTACATTAAAAGCTTTTAAGTTATCTTTATTTCACTGCCACCAATTTATTCTCCACAAGGAATTTTGTGGTACGACCCGCGGATTCGTTGGTTCTTACATATGATGCACATATGTACTTTTTAAACTAACTTTAACCTAATATCTAAATTGTACAATGCCCATTTTGCATAATACGTACGTACATATTATTGCGTCTTCGAATAATATTCTACTCAAATTCCCTCCCTTTATTATTCGTCAATTGTGTCTATCTCACGTGAGTTCAATCATTTCACTATCGCAAAATTATTCTAATCGTCAAAATTCTTGTATAAACTGGTTTTCATTTGAATTGATTTTTGTCTTTTTTTCAAATTTGTAATTTACGTAAGCTTCCATTTATTATTTCAAAGTTTTACAATTATATCATGAGTATGGTCTAAAAAAAGTTTTAATTAATTTCGTTAAAAAAAAAAAAAAAGTTTTTAATTAATCTTGTTAAAAATTATATTGTGTAAAAAAAAATTTTTAATTAATTTTGCTAAAAATCAATTATATTGTATAAAAAAAAGGTTTAATTACAGTAATATTTACTTCTTAAAATTAAACCCTTTTCTTGTATTTCAAAAAAATATAATTTGGTTTAAGTTTTATGTAATTATTTGAATTCATTTTATTTTATAATAAATCTTATAATTATACAGTCTTATATTATATTATATTATACAGTTTTATTCTTCAAAGATTTCTGTTTTACTATATACAGTATATTAAATCAATTTTTTTTATAGTTGTATTTTTTTAAAGCTAGATACGTATAAAAGTATATAATATTATCTCTATAAAATATTACGATATTAATTCGTAATACGCCTACGTATAAGTAAATGTTTGTAACAAATTTAATACCAGTTTTGTATATTAATTTGATTTGCTTTATTGTGATATTAATTTTTTATATTAACTTTTATTAACTTTTAATAAAAGTTGTTAAGGCTCGATTTTGTAATTCAAAAAATAGTAAAACTTATTAAAATTAACTTTGTAGTTTTCGAAATATCTTACAAATTTATAAAAAGATTTTAAAATATAGCTTTAAACTCAAATCTATTATTTCATTATTGAAATATAGTTTTTAAATAACTACTAAATATTGAGATATGGGTTTTTTTTAATATTAACGATGAGGCCATGTCTATATTTTTATTAAATATTTAATTAAAAGCGTTATATAAAGCATAAATTTATTTTTAAAATATTATAAAAAGATTAAAAACCTAGGTTAATTTATTAGTAATATAAATCAACTGAAGTAGTTAAGGTTTATTTAGATTTGAAGGTTAGTAATTATATATAAAAGATTAATTTAATATTTGATTTATTGTATATATTAAGAATTAATTTTAAAGCTAATATAATTAAAAAAAAAAGATTAAATCAAGTTTAAAGTAAAATTAAAGATGAATTAAAAATAAAAAGAATATGTTGTTAATATTTGATTTATTATATATATTAAGAATTAATTTTAAAGCTAATATAATTTAAAAAAAAGATTAAATCAAGTTTAAAGTAAAATTAAAAGATGAATTAAAAATAAAAAGAATATGTTGTTAATCTTAAAATATAGTAAAAAATCTAAATTTTGTAATATATTTTTAATTAAAATAAAATAAAATTTTAATAAAATTTTTTTTTAAGTTAAGTAATTTTACTAATTATCTTTTTTTTTTTTAAAGTAAGTTCTTTGGTCTTTTGACTTTTATTAATAACTTTTTTGGTAATGTGATTTTATGAATTACTACAGAAGAATATACAATTAGCTATACATGTAACTTTTTTTTATTACCTATTTAAGAAATTTATCTAAAGGTTCTTTATTAATATTATATTTAATACTTCTGCTTAGGTATTTTATTTTAAACTTTTTGAACCTACAACCTGTATTAATATCACAAGATTATACTAAGATATTCAGGTCATCATCTCAACCTTAAGATTATTTTATTTTTAAAATAAATCTTCTAGAGTTTTTTGTATCTATTTTTATAGCTAACCTGATATTACTATAGCAGAATTAATATTTGCAGTTAGAACTTAATCATTAAACTGCTATGCTCTTATAAAGTTTATACAGATTTTAGCATCTACTTTATAGCATATCTGAAATATTTTAATATATTTTTGCTTTTTTATTAGACTTCTAATTCAGATAGCTTATATAGAATTATAACTAATTTATTAGTATATCAGATTAGTCTAATATACTTTTCTTTTCATTTGTTTTAGTAACCTAGTTGGTGATACTTTTGAGACTTCCAAACCAAAGGTTTTGCCTATCCAGATACTATAATCTTGGTATCTGTTTTATAAGACTAGCCTTTACAGTAGAGTTATCAAAAATTCAGCTATTTTTCTATTTAAATCTTTTCAAATAAATTTCTTGTTACTTAATTTTAACAAATTTATATAGTTATAAAAACTTATCTAGTGTTTGCACTACCTAATTGTTAGTTTGCATTCCTCTGTACAATGTCATACTTATACATATGTCCTATAACTTGTTAATTATGCTAATATAACCATAATTATAAATATTTTAATTTAATTATTAGTAACAGTTGTTATAATATAAATATTATATAAATAATTATCCAAAATTTTTATTATTGATAGAAATTGAATACCTAACCTACTACTTGGAAGTTAACAACCTAATCATTTCATTAGATTGTTATATCCTTTTACTAATTATCTTTATTAAAATTTTTATATATATATTTGTACAAAAATAGTTTAAATTTTAGTTAATATCTTTTAATTACTTCTATAAACATTTAAAAATAGTTTGTTACATTAGATAATAAATTAATCTGATTAAATAATTATATTAAGCTAATTATTAGAAGAAAATTTCTAACCTTACACTATATATGCATATATATATCACATGATTATACTAATACTAAACAAATATTCATGTAACCTAATTTTTTCGGATGCTCTCAAGCATCTAAATTAATAGATCAGTACTCAATTTTTAATTAGCAAAATATTATTTGGATAAACAAATAAGCTTATTATCACAATGAAAAAAAAATAGTTGAGATCATTTTTTTTTCATAAAGTTGTATTTATTGGCTAAAATTTAAGATCTGCATTTTGCACTATAAACCTTCAACAAAATTGCTATAAAAATTATTTCAATTAATTATAGTACTTGTGTATAATTTTATTTACTAACTAATTATATTGAGGAAGATACTTAAGAGCACTTTTAGTTCTATAAAAAAATTAAAGCTTCAATTAAAAACTATATGCAGATAATTGATACATGATGTAATCTTAAATAATAATAAATATAAAAGTAATCAAAACAATGATTTAATTTCTTTCACCTTCAACATAATATTATAAATTGATTTCTTTTACTTGTGACATTAAACTTGATAATTATTTGTTATAAAGATTTTATTAGTTAAAAAACAAGTGCTGTAAACATGGATCCAGAAAGTTTCAGTTGTACAAATATAATATTCTTTACAAGAGCACATACTAGATGTTACCTAAAGTCTTTTATTATGCAATACTAAAAATTTTATTTTTACAATATACTATATTATCAGAACTTATATTACTTTTGAAGCCAGACAATATAATAAATAATATAAAAGTATGTACCTATATAGATCTAAAGCATTTCATTTATATAAACTTAATTGCATATTACAAGAATTATTTAAAAACCTTTTATTGTTTATTGCTAAAATGTTATAATTTTATATTTACAATGTTTAGGACCATTTCAAAACTTTATGTTTACACTATTTCCAGAATCAGCTGATATAGAAAGTGCCACAGATGTATGCACAAATGCATGTTGCAAAAAGACTTTTATTGTTTACACTAAAGCTTAATAATTTTATATTCTTTATAGTATTCATTGTTACTAAGATCATTACAAGATTCTACACTTAAACTATCTTTAAAGCTAGCTGAAATAAATTCATTGTCTAATTTTTTTTACTCTTAGTAAGATTAATTTTCTAATACCTTGTATTTGTTTGTATTTGTTGCTTTTTTTGAACTCTTAATAATGCTTCTGATTAGTAAACTAATTTTAGTAATAATTGTTAGCTTTTTATCGATACTGAGCAAAGTTTTCTAAAAGAAAATGTTAACAGTAAATTTGTAACAGAGATTTATAGTGAAGATTCAGAAAATGAGGATCAAAGTGATATTTTAAAGCTAAGTGTAAAGCTTACTTTTATTAACTTTTCAGAATTTAAAGCTTGAATAAACAATTATTGCAAGAAAAAGAAATTTAATTATAAAGTTAGAACTAGTTAAAAAAAAGATAAAATAATTTGATAGACTACTTATAAATGTTCAAGATTAGGTGTACATATGCCACAGATGATTTGTGATCTTACAAAATGTCAAAATACATTCTTACAATAGACTAAGTGTCTTTGGTAGCTTAATATTTTTTGTTTCAAAACAAGTAATATACTAAAAATCAATTTATTTATAAATAGCTATAATTATAAACTTATAATAACAATATGTAAAACAGCTTCAAGGTTTAGAAAATTGATACCAGAAATGTTATCTAATATAAAAAAATATGTAATACAAGGCAGAATGGATTCTAGTTCTATTTATCCTTTACTCATCCATGACTATTTAAATAATCCTATCTTTAAAAAAGACCTATATAATATAGTATATAAATTTCAGGCCAAAAATAAATCAGATAACTTAAACACATCTCAAATGCTTTAAATATTGTTAAATTAGAAGGAATCAGACTCTTTATGAGTAGTCAAATCATATATAGAATTTTTATTTAAAAGGTTAAATAGGTTATTGTGGATATCACCAACACAACAGTCTTTATATAATAATTTTTATAGCATTATTATTATTAATACTATATCAGGCACAAATTGCTTTTAAATATTGCTATATTATTATTATTATTAATAATCATTTTAAATCAAGAATTGTTGCTTCTGCTATTATTAACAACAAAACTCTGAATACTTTTCAGTAGATTTTTATTACATTATTTGAAGAAACAAACATCAGTTCTAAAGTTATATTTACTGATTTTAATTCATCTATAATTAGTGCAATTAAGGAAGTGTATTCTAATACTAACTATTTGTTATATATTTTCTATATTGACATGAATCTTTATAAGAAACTTAAATATACTTATTTTGAAGAATTTTAGCAAAAATTTTATATTTGTCGAAATTTTTTATACAGTAAGTTGTTTGAAGCTAGATGGCATAATTTGGTTGACCAGTATATTGAAGCAACTAAATATTTAATAGAGACACTTTATATTAATAAAAAGTCTTGAGGTATACCTTAGATATGTAATAAATTTACAGTAAGTGCTCAAAGCATATAGAGAATAGAATCAATTAACAAACAAATACATAATAGGATTGATTGAGCTACTTCTCTGTATGATTTGTTAGTCAATTTTAATAAATATATTAAAAATGAAGAATATTTTGAAAGATTTGAAATCAAATGCAGTGCATTGCCAACAATTGAATTACCATTTTTAAATACTAGGCTTTTTGGACAGATAGACAATATAATTAAGAAGTTTTAATACTTATGCTAGCAAAGCAGCACTTGCAGATAAATTAATCTGTCTGTTATAACACTACTCATATTATAGAATAGCAAAATTTAGTAAAAATTGATATATTTTTTTTTCATTTGATATAGATATCTGTACTTAAACAATATCACTCAACTTCTAGATAGATAGGCTATTTAACCTACATCATACAGCATATTTATATTTTGTTATTGAATTTTCTCATTATATAATATTGATTAAATAGCATGTCAGAGAAATATTCATTTGAAAATTCATATATAACTGTATCTAATTGTTTTGTTATAGGTTGATGATGATAATGAAGAAGTTGATGTTGAACTTTGAGAGCAAAAGCAAGATGTTCATCAAGTTCTTTTTAAATTGCTTATCAAAAATATTAATTATGAGAAAATTTTAAAAATATAAAATATCTATACTACTGGAATAACAGATATTAAAAACTATATAATAATCCTAAATAATGATACACATCTGTGTACATGCCTATTATTACTGAACAAAGAGTTATTATGCTAGCAGTTTTTTTATGTTTTTACTTATTCACAGGCTGTTATATTCTATATAGTTCTTATTCTATCTTAGTGGTATTTGAAACCAAATATAAGTCAAGAAAGTCTTCTGCAACAAACATCGATCATTCAAATGCACTATGTAGTCAGACCAGAAAGATGTCTATCTAATATCATATTCAATCATTTTTTCTTTGTTCAGTCAGCTTCATATAACAATAACTCTTATTTAATAACAAAATCTAATAAATCTGTATATGCAAAGTTGTTTGAACTGTCTAAGAAGACAATTAATTTAGCTATTAAGTATAATATATTATAGAATTAATTAAATACTTTTAAATTATTTCTATATAATATGCAAAACAAAGATCAACAAACAAATAATAATGATACTTAAATTGGTATTGTTTATAATCCCAATATCATCAAGCATAAAGGCTAGTCACTCAAAAGATTAAAATCTAGTATTGAACATATATTTTCCAAAAATGTATAGGTGCTAAAAATTAATACAACTATTAATACAACTAATAATAATGAAAATTTAAATATAATAAAAAGTGGTAATAATATATAAATAAATTATACAAAAAGTGTCATATATATAAAAAGTGCAAGCAATATAGTTATTATGTCAAAACATGTCAGACATAGATTTGTTAAACTTTTTTATTATTAGTCTGCTTAAATTTATATAAGTTTGTTATAAATAATATAGATAAAGCAAAATAAAATTATATAGTATAGTTCGATTTAAGATTTGGTATTAGTAAACTTTAGAATACAATTGTGTTTTGCTTTATTTTAGTTGTTTCAATTATTTTATTTCATATTATAATCAAATTATAAAACAAACATTTTAGTTTGAATGAGTATACATATATTATTATTTTTCTTAGTTTACTGTGTATACTTTATATTATTGTTTCAGTTTGTTGTATGCTAGAATGTTATTTAATTCTATTCTAAGTAACAGTTATTCTTACAAATAAATCAGATTTTAAGATATTAATAATACTTAAAATAGTATAATATATTAAGCAAAACAAAATAATAATAGTCAAGCAAATAATATTTACTTGCATAAGGTTGATAATGTTATTGTTATTATCAATTAGATAAGTTGGCATTAATAAAATAATAAATCTTTATATCCTATTGTAACTAATATATATTTATAGTATTTTATAAATATTATTAGCATTAGTAGTTGAAACTGAATTATATGTGTTTTGTATTTAATTTTATCTAAAAAGTCAGTATGTCTTTAATAATTTCTAAATAGTACCTATTACAGAATAGCCAGTGTGGTCTTCCAAAATACTAGTTTGTAATTATAGTGCAGTTATAATATACAGTATATATTTATTGCAATATTATATATAATTACAATTGCAGCTAGAAGAGAACCAATAAATTGTATTGATTAATCTTATATTATTAGTACTTTGAAGCTACCTTGGCTATGTCCTTATTACAATTAAAAAAGAATTATGTTATATATTATTAAATAATAACTTATTAGCTGAAAGCTTTTACATAATTATTCCTAGAGTATAAATATTAGTCTTATAAAAATATACAGTCTTTAAAGAGTTTGATACTATGTTTTATTCATATTCATATTATCATGCCTTCCTATTTTTACAATTAATCTGTAGTTGCATATTAAAAATAAGTGTTTATTACATCAACATTGAGTTATTTAGTATATATAAAACAAATTTATCATGTACATATATATGTACAGTTATGCCCAATTTTGATCTTTATTTAATAATAAAAATTAGGTATATGTGATATGTATAAAATATTTTATCATATGATATTTGCTTATTGTTACATGATTTATTTTATTGTAGCCTATATAAATTATATGTAGTTATATAATGTATATATATACACATAGTGTACAAATAGAAATCATTAATTTCAAAATATTAAAAAAAATTTTTAAATTTTTATTAAATATAAAATATTTTAAAATATATTTTGAAATTATTGTGTTATACAAAATTTTTAAAAATATTTGTATTTATAAATTTTTATGATCTATGTTACAATAATACTAATTTCATTTTAGAATGTTTTTTTTTTAATTTTAATCTTTTTTTTAATTTTTTTTTGATTATTATTTTTTTTCAATTTTAGATTTTTTTATTTATTATTATTATTTTTTTTATATTTTTGTTAGCAAAGTTGAATTTAAAAATAATACCAATATAAGTATTAGTTTATTTTTTTTATTACTAATACTTTTTGAATCTGAAACTGATACCAAGATAAGTATTAGTTAATTTTTTTTAGTTTTTTTTTTGATATTATTAATACTTTTTTTTTTGTAAGTTTTGTGCTTTATCAGGAAGAATTAATAAGGCTAAGATCAAAATTTTAAACCTAAAAATAGTACAAAAATAAGTACTAGTTTTTTTTTATTTTTTTGTATTGTTACTAAGTTTTTTTTTTTTTGTAGGTTTTATACTTTACTGAAATCAAGATCTTGAATCTGAAACTAGTACAAAAATAAATATTAGTTTACTTTTTTTTGTTTTTTTTTGTTTTTTTTTGTGTTGTTACTAATACTTTTTTTTTTTAAATTTTGTGCTTTGTTAAAAAGAGTTAAAAAAAGCCAAAATTAGGATTTTGAACTTAAAACTGATATAAAAATAAGTACTAGTTTATTTTTTTCTTACTTTTTATTTTTTTGTATTGTTATTAATGTTTTATTTTCTTTTTTATTAAGTCTTGTATTTTGGTAAAAAGAGTTAATAGAAGCTAAAATCAGAATTTTGAAGCTGAAACTGGTATAAAGATAAGTACTAGTTTATTTTTTCTTGTTTTTTATTTTTTTTTGTTACTAATACTTGCTTTTTTTTTTTAGGTTTTGTGTTTTACCAGAAAGAATTAATAGGACTGAGATCAGAATCTTGAACCTAAAACTAATATAAAAATAAATATTAGTTTATTTTTTTTTAGTTTTGTTTTTTTGTATTATTACTAATACTTATTTATTTTTTTTTTAAGTCTTATACTTTGCCAAAAAGGGTTAATAAAGGCTGAAATTAGAATTTTGAACCTAAAACTAGTATAAAAATAAATACTAATTTATTTATTTTTTATTTTTTATTTTTTATTTT